GGTTGTCTTTGAGGATTGAGTTACAGTGAACTGAGGTCAGTTTACTTCTGAGTGAGAGCATCCATGCAGGGGAGAATAACGTGCTTTAACTTATGGGCATTGACTTCACCCCTTCAGCTGATTTGCCTTGTCACTTCCCTGAGCGTCCCCATGTAGCCAAGCCCTTACACTAAACGCCTACCTTCTGCGGGAACCATTCGGGTCACCTGAGCAGCCCTGCCCCAGGTGATGCCGTGTTTCATGTTTCCTTTCTTCAGAGCCTGACGTCTGCTGGTGGGGAATGCTGTGCGTTGTCTCGTGTTGCAAGCAACCTGGCCTAACGTACAACCCCATAGCAATCTGACTGGGTGACTCTGCATGCCTATAGGAACCATCCCCAGCCAGTCTACCAATGATATACGTACAAGGCCAGTGAAATGCAGCGGCCTATGGAGGGGAGAGTGCAGTGTTTGCCAGCCCTCCTGATTTTATCCCTATGGTTGGTGGTTTGTCTATATCCTGAGAATCTCAGCTTACTTTATATATATATATATATATGTGTGTGTGTGTGTTTTGAGCTTTTAGGGTTGCAGAGAAGCTTGTGAGGCGAGTGCCCCCCGCAGGCTCAGACACCTGAAGGCAAAGAAACGGAACCAAAACGCTCTTGTGAGATTTGCTTAAAAAACATGATTTTCGATTCGTGGATTCCAAGCCCAGAAGAGACCATTGTGCTCATCTAGTCCAGTGTTTGTTTCTCAATGACCGGCCCGTGAACCGGTGCCAGTCCCTGAGATCTCCTGCATAGAACAGGCCAGAAAACTTGCCCAAAATCATTCCTTACTGGAGGGGCTGAGTCATTTTCAAGCCGCTGGAGTTGGAGATACTGAGAGTGGCAATCGATATCCAGTACACAGGGCAACAGTGAAGTGTTGTGCAAGGACCCCAGGGCAAGACAAGACCACAGGATGTTTTTAAAGACCCATCCCCAAACACCTCACTTAGTAAACTGCACTGAACTCTGTTTTTCTGCTGAAGAAGGGCTGGGAGGCCTCGCTGGCCATGAGGAGGTTTGAACCTGCGGTTCCAGGGCCTCTCAATAATGCAGTTTTAAAAGTACCTGGTTTCCTTTTATCTGATGGTCCATTAGCTGCCCGTGCTCCACCTTCCCAGCAGGAATGGGATGCGGGGAGGGGGGTGAGTTGACACCTTTGGCTGCTGCTGTGGTCTCTCTGCATGTTCCACTGCCCTGTTCGTGACCCGTGTCCCCTTATGGCATTACAAAACTAGTGCTGGGTCTGCTTCTCTGGGACTCCTCCCCAATCGGCTGGCAGCCCCCCTGTTCCTGTCAATCACTGATGGCTAATGTTGCCTCTAGGAAGGAAAGGAGGGCTCTGTGCTCGAGGCAGGCTGGCAATTCAGTCACCAGTCAGAACCCCCCATGTAAAGCGTAAGGGGGGGAAGCCCAGGGAAGGGACTGGCCCCTACACATGATACTCTGAGAACGGCCCCTCTGTCACCAGGCTGGGAACCCTAGCTAGGAGGGGTATCCCCCAGGGATCTAGCTTGGTGCATTCACTCTCCCGTTCCTCCCTCGCTGGGTATGCTGGATGCAGCATGTTTATGTGGCGGCAGTGTGGGGGGGTGAACACCCCCAGGAGGTGCCTAGAGGGTGTTTGGATACAGCTGCTCCGCAAGCCCTAGCCAGGGAAAGCTGCGCAGAGTAATGCCTATCGCCTCCAGTCCCCTGACCGCCAAGCTCTTTGCAAAGAGGGTATCGTTCTCCCCATTTTACAGACAGGTAAGTCACTTCCCCAAGGCTGGGCAGCGACTCGGGGGCAGAGCTGGCAATGGAACCCAGGAGTCAGGACTTCCAGCCCTGTTTTCTAAATTCTAAAGCCCCCCCAGCCCCAGCCTCCAATTTCAGCCAAGGCATGCCTGGCACTACGGGGCTCTTGCTGCAAGCTCAGGAGAGCGCAAGGAGAGATGTTTGTGTCCATTAGCTTCCTACATCTCTCTCTTTTCATGTAACCCCTTCCTTCACCACATCTGCTGGCGAGATGGGGGGGAGGAGCAGGCGAGCGATTCCAATTAGAACTGGAGCATGCCTAAAATCGTAATGGGCAAAAGCGCGCCTGGTGGCATATTAAGAAGGTAAACTAGCTTCAGGAGGCGCACGGATCTCTCAAGGGAGCCTGGGGGTTTGTCTTCAGGAGATTGCACCTGGGGAGGGGACTAAAGCAATTATTGCAAAGCCCGTCCAATACAATAAAACAGTCTTTGATCCCAGCCTGAGGGGGTAATAATTATACCTCGCATTCACCACGCCGCCTTTCAGCCCAGCACTTTACCCACGTTAATTAACATGCCTGATGCGTATGATGCATATTGCAGCTTCACTAAGGACTCTCGTGATCAGTGTTTGGGCTCCCAGGAGCTACAGATGGAGAAGGTCTATTTGATCATCCGATGCATTTCCCCCTTTCAAGGGCATGATGGTGTCCTGTACTCCCCCTACACGCACCTATCTCTAGAAACATCAGAGTTTTTTTGGTTTTTGTTTTTTTGCTTTTGTCCTGTGTCTGTGAGCCTTCACCGGAGAAGATGGGGTGAGAGTCTGAAATTTCTCTCCTTCCTCTGTGTAATCGAAGTACCAGAGGGCATTGCAGGTTTCTCTCCTGCATGTTATTGTACCCCCCCATCAACCTCCGCCCCAATCCTGGTACATTATGTGCTGCTAAAAATAAATAAATCGATGTCTTCATGGCTGAGCAACTGCTGCATGGGGGAGTTCTATTTTTAAACTCCTTGCGGTCGGTGGCGTGTAGGTGTGGTGCAGGAGACAGAGGCTGGGGAGACTCTCGCTGCAGGAATGCGGGGGCAGATGGATTGATCAGAACGTGGCTAATGATTTTTAAAAGTTGCCTTTTTCCTTCCTCTTCCTGTCTCACGCTCTCTCTGTTTTGGGTTTTTTTTTTCTTTTTCTTTGGCTGCTGCTTGCAGTGAGAATCTAAAAGCCTGTCAAACACCTTTCAAAACATGGCAGGCGGCTTAGACACATGTGGCCTGATCAGCATGGCAATCGAAGAAGGAAATGTCTTAGCAGAAACAAATACCTTTCTTTCCCACATCCCTCAAATAGGGAACCCCTCCCCCCCAGATTCACTAGGGATGATGGGGATTAGGGGTGGTGCAACATGTAATTCTTACTCTTGAAATTCAAAGATGTCTGTGGCGTGCTCTCGTGACCCCATCCAGGGGGGATTTTTCTTGGTGAAGCAACTACACCAATGTTGTTCAAAGACACTACTGAGTGTGGGTAAAGCGGGCTTGGCATAACACCCCATCCCCATGCCCTGCCTGCAAAAAATCCATAGTCATTTGCCAAAAAGAATTTCCAAAACCTTGACTGAGGCCGTGGTTGGTCTCCAGGACGATCGGTCTCCTTAGCTCTGCTGTAGCCAAACAGCAAGTTGTTGGGCTTGGGAGAGAGAGAGAGAGAGTGTGTGTGTGTGTGTTCAAATCTTTGACGTCAGTCTAGCAGCGCTTAGCGTCTCCGAAATCCTAGTCAGCCCAGCGGGATCAAGCCGATGCACTCACCATAGGGAAAATTCTTCTCCCACACCTATATGGGCTATATGATTAACTGATGTGCTGTATTGTTATCCCAAATGGGCTCCTCTATATAAAGGGAGGTAACCTGGGGATGTTAGCCAGAGTACAAAGGACCCCCTCCTCATGTGGGAACAATAGGTCTGACCCATGTCTGAGTGTGTGGGCACCTCAGTTTGGTCCCCAGCAGAGCTACGTCAGGATATGAAAAGGCTGGGGGGCTCTGGGGTGGGGGTTGGACACGCACCGTACTGATTGGACAGACTGCATACGACGTGTGGAGGGAAACGGAGCATTGGTCTTTATTCTTTTCAAAGAAATCTGAAGAATTTCAAAGGAGAGAGGGCTCCTTTCCCAAACTGGGTTGCAGGATGGCCCCAGGTTCTGCAGGAGAAGTGACCAGAAATCTAAAAGGACAGACTGACTATTTAAACTGCAACTGACTAGTATTAGTGCCATATTTTGAAAAGCGCAAAGAGCTGGTATCAGTGGAATGGAGTGGTAGCTTCTTCTCCAGCTGCATGGTGATGAATTATTTCTGTTGCCATAGACTAGGGTCCCCATTGTGCAAGGTGCTGTAGAAAAGCATAGTAAGACACAACTCCTGCTCCAAAGAGTTTATACTCTGAAGAGGCAACTGGTGGAGAGGGAAACTGAGGCACGGAAGAGGCAATGATTTGTCCAAAGCCACACAGAGCCAGGAATAGAACCCAGGTCCTCTGAGTCCCATGGACTATTTCATAATCTACAACACTGACACTGAGTATGATACAGGGAACGGGGTATTTTTTTTTATCATTCAGTTTTTTAGTCTTGTCTTTGTTTTAATATCCTGGGTCTTTTAATTAAGCTCTGTCTGACCAATGCAGAGCTGGCGTGCTATGGTAAAGGGAAAAGGCAGCAGGGCAAGCTTAATGCCTACGCTGGTGTAGCTTGGAAATGTGCATTGTTAGACTGACCTGGATAAGATACCTGGCTATAACTTCAAGGAAAAGCTCCTGTGTACGTTTCTAGCCACGGCTCCAACAGAATATTGCCCTGATTTTAATTACACCCAGGGGGTTATGTCCTGCCCTCAGTTGGACCATTGCAAGTGACGGGGTCTTTGCCCTGGTGTCCACAGCTTTTGGCACTCCCGTGGCGTCTCAGTTCCTCTGTGGCATTGGATGCTTCTCTAGGGTGATTCTTGCTCATGAGAATGGACTGCAAAGTTTGGGGGCAGGAAGGCGTTTTCCTCCCTGTGGGGCCCATTGCAGGGGACCTGGTATGAGGGAAGCTCTCCTCCTGGGGTGGCTTTGAGCAGGCTTGTTCTGCTAGGGAGCCAGGGAGTGTATGGCTTGGTGTGGGCCTTGAGGAAGTGGCTGACCCTCACTTGTTCCTCCTTCACTGACCTCCCTAGCTTTCCCTTGCAGTGACCCAGAAGGGGCCCAGCTGAAAACCGAGTGCCTGCCGTCGCCCTGCAGCCATGGAGGGTGGCATGCAGCTCCTCAACCGGGACGGCCACAGCATCTCCCACAATTCCAAGCGCCACTACCACGACGCCTTCGTGTGCATGAACCGCATGCGGCAGCGGGGCCTGCTGTGTGACATCGTGCTGCACGTGGGCACCAAGGAGATCAAGGCCCACAAGGTGGTGCTGGCCTCCTGCAGCCCCTACTTCCACGCCATGTTCACAAGCAAGTATCCAACTCTTCCCAGGAACCCACCTTCTCCCCATTCCCTCTTGTCCTTCCCTGCGGGCCGGCAGAGCTCCAGACCACAAACCCCCTCCTTCTCCCGCTCTCTCGGACCTGCCTCTCAACCCACCTCCCCCTCTTGCAGCAGCAAACCCTTCCCCCACTCAAACCCACTTCCCTCACCAGGCCTTCCGTCCCCAACCCGCCACAGATTAAAAGGCTGGAAGTTTGGGTTTCCAAAGACATCTCCTGCAGGCTGGGGGCCCCGTCCCCCTCTTGCTGACGCCAAGGGGAAATGGCGGTCAGTCCAGCGATGTGAACAGGGAGGGAGAGGGGAACGGGGTTTGGGGTCTAATCTAGACCTCACGTGGTCTTAACTAAGCTCCAGGCTTTTTAGTTTTTGATGACCTAGGAGCACGGGTGGTGGGAAATGTCAGAGCTGACGCTAGCCTGTCCGCAGCTCAAGGTCTAGTTTTAAGACAAGGTGGAGAGAGAACTCCAATTAACGGCAAGTGAGAGATGCCAGGAGGAAATTCTGAGAGAGGGGTGGAGGAACCTCTGATTTAAAGGCAAGGGAGAGGCCCCAAGGAATCGGTGAGCAGGGGTCTTCAATTAAAGCTGACACAGAGAAGCCCTAAGTAATCGGTGAGGGATCCCCAGGTAAAGGTGGGGGGGGAGAAGCCCCAAGAATCGATGGCTGGGGGTCCCAGTAATATACCTGGGGAAACTGTTGCTCTGTTCAGAATCATTGGCTTGTTCCACGCACGGCCGAGACAGCCCTTAGGGTGTGTGCCAGTCTGGCTGGGCCTCACTGGAGTTTTACGTGTGTCCCCACACAGATGAGATGAGCGAAAGCCGCCAGACCCATGTGACGCTGCACGACATAGACCCGCAGGCCCTGGATCAGCTGGTGCAATATGCCTACACTGCGGAGATCGTGGTGGGTGAAGGGAATGTGCAGGTAGGCGTCTCCCCCCACATCCCTCTGCCCTGCTGCCCTTCGGAGAGGACTAAAGACCCATCCTTAGGGACCTGATTCGTGACCTTCAAACTTTGGCACCAAGACAATGTCTTGTGCCTGATTGTAGTTGTGGATGGGAATGGAATTCCTCCTTTCCCTGAGCCCAGAGGCAAAGTGCTTGCGATTGCTTCAGCCTATCGCTTGTTCTGGGAACGGCTGCCCCAGCAACTGGACCGAATACTGAGAGGCACCGAATGCTTACAGCTGTCGCTGACTTCAGAGTGAGCTGCAGGTGCTTGTCCTCATCGTCCGCCCTTCGGTCACTCTCCAGCTGCTTGGTCTGGAACCGAGCCTGTTTCAGCTTCTCCCTCTGGGTGGGGCTTTGGGGGAGTTTCTTTACAAGGGCTGGAAAAATCCTATTGTCCTGTAGCCCTGGGCAACCAAATAACAAAGCAACTGGGCTGAAGGTCAGTTGTCGTTCTCAGCCTTGGATCTGATGCTCCGGGCACTCAGAATCATGAAGGGCAGCTCAGGTCAGATCAGCCGCTTGACCGTGAGCGTGGGATGTGCCTTAGTGGAGACATCTAGCCTCGGGGCAGCCTGGCCTACGTAGGCAGAACTGAAAAGTTCGTTTTCTACAAAGTCTTGCACCAGCCTTTGTAGCTGTGTATGGGAGGTGGAGGGGGCTGCGATCCCTTACGTTTTGCTACTCCTTGACATCAAACAAAATGCCTGTCCTTTTTCTTCTTCCCCCAATTCAAAACCACAAAGATCTTCGCAGCCCTCTCTTGCCAGGAATGAGTCTGTTTGTTTTTCAGAATGAAAAACTTGCAAAAGCTTTATATTAAATTTGTACTGATTTGGGGGCGGGGGAGGGGAGAAAATCCGAATCTCCGTCAGCTTTGCCTTTTCTCTCAGACTCGCGTTTCCCCTCTGGTCCCTGAGTCTTCATCTCTTTGTAACGGAATCACGCAGCCCAGGGGCCTTCTCGGGAAAGAACGAGACAGCTGGCCACGGAACCTGTTGTTGTTGTTCTCGCTTGTTTCCAAATTCTGCTCCCTGGGCTGGCCTCACGTGACCCTCCTCTACCCCATCCCATGCCATATTCGTGAGGGTCTGCGAGGGATGGGGCGTCCCTCCTGCAGTCTCGCTCCAGCTTGGCACGAAGAGTAGAATTTGGGGCACTCATCTAAAATAGCCGGCAGCCGCTCTGTGGCTGCTGATTCATTTGATAGGGACCAAGCTGCTGGCGAGAAAGGATGGAGCTGTTTCTCCGGGGGAGGGACCCATTGCAGAGCTGCGGGTGGTTCAGCCCTGTGTTTGGGAGCCGCCACTCCACCCTGCCTCTTTTAACCTCTTCCAGGCCCATTGAGGTTAATGGGAAGCTTTCCATAGGCACTTTTGCCGCTTGTCGCCTGGGGGGTGAAGGGCCCTGCTGCGTTCTGTAGCTGAGAAAGCCGGCCAGCCACATACAGGTGCAAAGCCACAGAGGAAACTGTCCGAGAGTGGGTCAATGGGACTCTCTGTGGGATGTGCTTGGCCCACTCTGGATGCTAGATCTTAGCTGTTCTCCTAGTAACTGTATCCCAGGGCTCTCCCAGGCCAGGGCATCTCTTGACAGCTGGCCCTGTCTCTGTGGGGAAAGCATAGGTCCCTGCTTGAGGAGGAGGGGATGCTGGGGCTGTCTCCGTGGGAAGCAGTGATGGAAGTGGTGGGCTGCAGCCCCAGACACTTGGCTGTCTGCCCACAGACGCTGCTTCCAGCCGCCAGCCTCCTCCAGCTCAACGGCGTGCGGGACGCCTGCTGCAAGTTCCTGCTGAGTCAGCTGGACCCGTCCAACTGCCTGGGCATCCGGGGCTTCGCCGACACGCACTCCTGCAGCGACCTGCTCAAATCCGCCCACAAGTACGTCCTCCAGCACTTCGTGGAGGTGTCCAAGACGGAGGAGTTCATGCTGCTGCCGCTCAAGCAGGTAAGACCCCTCCCGAGGCCTCGTGTCTCTTGTCCGCACTGTGGCGCTGCTCCCACTGACTTTCTTCTCGGGGTGCAGAGCGCTGCATGATGCTTCATGCCAGCTGGGGCGTCCCACTGTGCCCACTAGCCCTGGTAGGTCACCGCTGCTTTCATGATGTCTTCATCCCCTCTAGGTAGGAGCTGGGGCCTAGTTCATGCATCTCAGCCCCCCCACCCACACACACACTCTCTGTTTCAGCCCCTAACCCGCACAGAGTTGCTAGCCATGGAACAGGGTCTGCCAGGTGCTGGGGGGAGGGAAGGGATGTCGTGCTGGAAGGAGATGGCTGGGGTGTGTGTATAGGCGGGGAGGGAAGTGGATGGGGGCTGGTTTGTGTTACTCCATCCAGGCCTCGGCCTAGCACCCAGCACTGCCTGAGTTCCTCCAATGCCTCCGGAGGTCAGCGAGAGTCTGCGGATTGGGCCCTAAGAGAGCTGTTCAGCTCAGAGCTGTTCTCCGCGGGGGGACATGTATCTCCAGGAATCCCAGGAACCGGTGCTGGGAGGGAGCGGAATCAGAGAGCAGGGAAGGGACTCCCAGGGGCTGTGTCCAGGCCACCTCTCGCTTAGGACTCTGCGGGGCCGCTGCCAGGAAGAGAGTGTGGCCCCCAAGAGCGGAGGAAGTGGGACATAAAGCAAGAAGGGTTAAGGCGGGTGCTGCCGTCTACCCCGCGGGCGTCTCTGGAGCAGCCAGCGCCCGCCCGCTCTGTGGAAATACAGGCCGAGAAAAAAGCAGCGTGGCCACTGGGGAACCTGCCCACAAGCCGTTGCTGCTGCAGGCAGGTAGCCACGATGTTTAATTTACAGCTTGGCTAATGGATCGTGCGGCTCCTGGCATGGGCCGGCGCGGCAGGCGTTGTGGGGGTGGGAGGGGGGAGGATAGACCATGCCCCTGTTCCTCCCAGCAGCTGCTCAGCCCCCCCTTTGCCTCTCGCTCAGCGTGTGGATCACAGGCGTGTGTGCGCACACTCGTATCCCTCCCGCGGCAGGGAGGCTGTGTGGCTGGGAGCAGCCGGGGCTGCTGGTTCCCTCCCGTGACACGGGCGGGCTTGTCTGAGCTCGCTGAGGCTCATCAGAACCAGCAGTCACTGCCCCTGGGGACGGGGCTGGCCACCTCAGCGCTCTCCTCTCACGGCTGGCGACACGGGGGGGCAAAGCCCACAGGAGGGAGAGGAACATCTGGCCCTGGGGAGCAGCTTCGGATTCAAGCTGATGGGCAGTTCAGGAAGCTGCTGGGGTGTTTCCAGCCCTGGTATGAGGGGATTCTGCTTGGCCTAGCGCCGTGGAGTGTGGCTGTTTCTAGCTCCCACTCCCCAGGGCACTGCTCTTTGCCCACTACTCTGGCAGCACCTAATACCGGCTTTACAGTGAAACCTTTCAGGAAGGCAAACTCCTCTCAGGGGGGGTGATCCCAATGCAGATTTAACCCCTTAAAGTCCCTGTGGTAGCCGAGCTCTGTGGGTGAGCAAAGCGTTTGGTGGGACCCTGCTCACCAGGACAGTCACTGTGGGCTGAGGCTGGGGATTGAGCCATTCTGTGTTTCTCTCTGCCCTCTCCCCCCTTCAGGGCAGGGGTCTGTACCCAGGCATTACCCGTTCGTAGAGCTGTCGGCATGGCTGGAGCTGGGGAAGGGCTGATGCAGGCAGACTCCAACGCAAGAAAAGGGTCCAAGCGGGCCCCAGTGGGGACGCCCCAGAACGCGTCTGCAGCGACTCGGATGCTTCCCACATCTCATTGCTGCTGGCCTGGCTTTGCCACAGGGACGTCCCGTAGGATCACTCACCATCTCCCGCTGCATATGGTGGGGGAGGGGAGCCATGCCATGAGCAATGACCCCATCGGTGCCCTCTGAACATCCCAGGGAGATAGTACCTCTAGGTGTGGAAACATCCCTGTCCCCTCCTCCTGCCACCCACGTGCAGTCAACTCCTACCCCTCCACCATGTAGTCTGGAGAAAGGGTTACATAGTGCACGGTAGGGGCCAGCCCTGCTCGCCCCAGAGGAGGATCTAAAGGGGACCTACTGGGTCCCCTGGCCCTCTTCCCCTGATTCCATAGCAGATCCGCAGCCCCTGCTGTCTGGAGTGCCCGGCCAGGGGATGCGCCAGCAAAGGGCACCAGCAGTGCATCACTGAGGGGCTGGTGGGAGCGGCAGCGTGGCCCGGGTGGGGAGAGTGGGCAGAGCGGATGGTTTGCAGGGAACAGGTTCCGCTGGGCCCTGGGTCCAGCTGGTGGGGGAAGCTGGCCAGGCTAAGAGCCCAAGAGGGGTGGCTTGGCTGATAAAGCAGCATCTCCTCTATGAGGCCTGGTCAGGGCAGCGGGAGGAGCAGGGTCTCCTGCCAGGTGGGGAGGAAACAGAGAGGCTTGGAGATGGGCAAAGCCTGCATTGGCTGCCCTCCGAACAGGGGCCATCCCTCCTCTTCTTCCTGCCTCACCGGTCTCCTAGCAACTGCTCCAGAGAGCCTCACAGGTGTCTTCCCCCTGCCTTCTCCAAGCACCGGCGCTCGGTGCTTCTGCCAGGCAGAGTCTGCTGTCGGGAAGGCCCAGAAACGCCCCTCCAGGGGATGCTGAGCAGCCCGTGCAGTCCCCGGCTTTGCTTTGTTGGGTTATTTACCGCCCAGCGTGGCCTGGGCTTCCCCCTGGAGCTCCTGTCTTGCTATGAGCCCTCCTCAGTCAGCCGCAAGGAGAGCAGCCCAGCGGAGAGCTCGCCTTCCAAAGCCTGGCTCTGCACCTGCCAGTGTGTTCCCAGCCGTCTGCGCATCCTGGCTCTGCCACAGCAGATCCACTGGGGGAAGGGACCAGTTAGAGCTCGTGGGGCTCGTTCTCCTCTCGCACAGCATAATTCAGGGGTGACTGGTGCGAGCTGCACCAGTGTAGGGGAGCAGGGAGTCAGGCCCTGTCACTTGCCACGGTGCCTACACTGACAGTCCGGACTTCCATTGCCCCTCGGCGCGCGTGCAAGCCCTAGCCAATCGGCAGGAGGGTTCAGCTGGGAGGCGGGTTGGCCTTGTTCTCCCCACTTTACAGATGTGGAAACTGAGGCACAGGCTTGGTCAAGGTCACCCAGCAGGTCAGAGGCAGACCCAAGAATAGAACCCAGGAGTCCTGACTCTCTGCTCTTGCAGCCTCTCCGTTCCAGTACGCACACACCAGCCTTGCTCTACCCACAGGCTATGGAGGTGCGGTAAGGCTCTGAGTGTGCAGCTCTGCTGGTTCAGGTGCGTGCGTGTGTGTGTGTGTGTACGCGTGCGCCCATGTTCCCTGCCATACTGCCTCCCCATGATGAGTGACAGCTGAGCTGACCTTCCCTTTCACCTCTGCAGGTGCTGGACCTCATCTCTAGCGACAGCCTCAACGTGCCATCCGAGGAAGAGGTGTACCGGGCCGTGCTGAGCTGGGTCAAACACGACGTGGACAGCAGGAGGCAGCACGTCCCCAGGGTAGGCGAGCTGGCTGGGAACGCAGATCATGGCAGGGGAGGGGGCTTTCTCCAACTCTGAGCGTAGGTGCTGGATGGATGTGGATTTGGCCTGGTCTAAAGGCTCCTGGAGACCCCTTGCAAATTCCTATTTCCCTCTCCCCTTGGAAACTCCAGCCTGCAGGCTGTGAGATCAGACAGGGTTGGGGGGAACCAAAGAAAAGTCTCAAGTCCAACCACCTCAAGACCAAATTCTGCTCTGTCCCCCGGTGGCGTTTTACTGGTATAACTGAGATGAGTTCGTTTCCCAGCATGGTGCCATTGGCTGTCTCTAGGCACTGGCCCAGGTCTGGTCTGACAGGAGCTTGGGTTCCCAAGGCTATAGCACCTGGCTCCTTCCGATGCACTGGGGCATGCATTGTACCCCCCTGTAAATGGAGGCTCATGCTGCCTTATGCAGAGCTAGAAGGCAGGGGTTTGAATCCTATGAATGTCCACGTCCTAGCTTCCCTAGCACCTCACAGTCACATTGTATCCTCCCAACATCCTTGTGAGTTTGGGACGTGTTATCCCCATCTCACAGAGGGGGAGCTGAAGCTGGGTAGGTTGAGTGACTGCCTGAGGTCACACAGGGAATCTGCAGGAGAGCCTGGATTAGAACCCAGGTTGCCTTAGTCCCAGTCCTGTGCCCCGTCATTAGACTATCTTCCTCCATATGTAGAGAAATGTGACCAAACTTGGGATTTCTTTAGTTCCTATCCCACATCAGAGGATCTCTAAAACCCACAAAATCCCCTACCATGTGATAGGGCCGGTGCTATGACCCCGTTTTACAGACTGAGGCACAGAGGGGCAGCGACGTGCCCACGGTCACATGAGGAATCCGTGGCAGAGCTCAGGCTTCAGTGGAGCAGCAGGGCTGTCGGGAGGGTGACTGGTCTGTCCGGTAGACTTTGCTCTCTAGAGCTGGGTTTTCAAGATTGCTCTGAAAAGCCAAACTTGGCAAGTCTGCAATGGCTTAGGCTGGATTTTCCTTTATCTAGTGCTCTGATCTCTGTGTCTGTGACTGGGAGCAAATTAACCACAGGCCCGTCGCCTGCCTAAGCAAAACAGTAACAGGAATAACAAAACCTTTTCCTACAGGGATTCTTTCCCAGCATAGCCCTCGCTCTGCATGAGTCTTGCGTGCCCTCTCGTGGATACCTGTGGCATTGCACGTATGAATATTGGCACCCATTAATCAAGCCAGAGAAAAATGCCTCCGTGTGTACCCTGGCAACCTTTCCGTTTGTTCTGGGAGCTTTGCTACCAGGCCTGCTAAGAAACTCGCTGCGAGCCTGCAGAGAATGCTGGGAAATGATATGCAAATAGGAGTATATGCATCCCAAGATGTACTTGCCAGGCATATGCTGGGGGCAGCCTGCCCTCCCTTCCACTAGGAGGACGATGAAGTGGCAGGAGGGGGATCCAGTCCAGTCAAGGTCCCGAGGCTCTTGGGGTTGGTCAGGGAGCCCTCTCTAATCTTCACCCCAATCCGTCTTTGTTCCACCGACTCAGCACTGTCCCTCCCCTCCCTCCACCCTGCAGCTCATGAAGTGCGTCCGGCTGCCCCTGCTGAGCCGGGACTTCCTGATGAGCAACGTGGACACGGAGCTCCTGGTCCGGCACCACTCGGAGTGCAAGGACCTGCTGATCGAGGCCCTCAAGTACCACCTCATGCCGGAGCAGAGAGGGGTCCTCGGCAACAGCAGGACCCGGCCCCGGCGGTGCGAGGGGGCCAGCACCGTGCTCTTCGCCGTGGGTAAGGGACAGCCAGGCCCCGGGGGGGGGGCTGAATACGGTGCCTGCTGTGCAGCCTGGGGGAGGGGCCCATCACCTGCCTCCCGTGGGGCATCTGTCCCACCCTCGGGGAAGGGGCTGCAGGCAGGGCCTGTCACTGGGATGTTGGGCAGAGCTGGGGGTCAGAGAGGGGTATGTCCATGGCTTCCCCCTGCCCAATGACTCCCTGGAAACTCCACGGGTCCTGCCCTTCACTCGCTCTGCTTGTGACCCCCCCCATGCAGGCGGGGGGAGCCTATTCGCCATTCACGGAGACTGCGAAGCCTATGACACGCGGACGGATCGGTGGCACATGGTGGCCTCCATGTCGACCCGGAGGGCCAGGGTGGGCGTGGCTGCCATCGGAAACAAGCTGTACGCGGTGGGCGGGTAAGGAGGGGAGCAGATCACGGAACTGGGCGGAGAGGGGAATGGCAGCACTGGGGTGGGACCTCTCTGGATTCGGGTCGGAGAACAAAGGCTGGGCCCAGGGAAGTGGGAACGGGAAATGTCGCTGGTTCAAACCCAGCCCGGCGGAGCAGCGACTGGAAGCAATTCCACTGCCCACAGCTGCTCAGTGGAGTGGCAGCCTGGCCGCTAACTGACCCCATTTGTTCACGGCCCCAGCGGCGGGGACGGAAGCTGCTCTCGCCTGCAGGTGCATTTCTCCCCCTGCTCAGTTAGGGCTGAAGCAGCTGGCGAGGGCAGCTTGCCCTGCTGATGTCATGCCACCTCAGGGACATGTTCGATGCACAGTAACTGCCTGGCTCAGCTGCGACCCAGGCCCCCGGCCCTCTCAGCCTGTCCCGTGAATTCACACAGACTCGGTCAGGCGGCTGGGAACCCCCCGGGGGCTGCATCGTCCCTGCAGGGGGTGAGAAGGGCAGGCGGGCGGAGCGGGTTTGGAACATGGGGAGCGAACCCGCCAGAAATGCAGCGACTGGCTGACGCTCTGCATGGGCCTGATTGCCGGCAAGAGCTGGGCGAGGGAGAAGAGCGCAGCCCGCGTCTGGACTGGGCATCGACCTGAGGCTAAGCTGTGCTCAGCTCAAGGGCTTGGGTGGAGTCCCGGCTCCCAGCCCTGCCGCTTGGGTTCCCCACCCTTCCAATGCTCTCCCATCCCCCCGCAGTTACGACGGGACCTCCGACCTGGCCACAGTGGAGTCGTACGACCCGGTTACCAACTCCTGGCAGCCGGAGGTGTCCATGGGCACCAGGCGCAGCTGTCTGGGGGTGGCAGCGCTTCACGGGCTCCTCTACGCAGCAGGGGGATATGACGGGGCCTCCTGTCTGAACAGGTAGGGGGATTTCCTGGGTCCATGCCCCCCTGGGCTGCTGAGACACCCCGGCTGTCCCCAAGGTCTGCTCCAGGGGGGCAGGCCATGCGTAGCCTAGGTTTCCTGGAGGCCTGATGGCTCATCGGCAGCCAAAGGGACCTAAGGCTCATGGGGCCGGCGGGCTGGGGGTCCCCCCCCCTTCCCCGCACG